AGAACTGCAGATCTGCCGTTTTAAAGCAATGATTAGTTGGTGACTAAATACTTGTAAAATATGCTACTTTGCACTTATTAAAAAATGCAACTCAGAGCTAATCTGAAATACAGTGGAAGCCATTGTGTCAGTCTAGGATTTCGGTTGCAAAGCCCTACTTTAGACCAAAGTGTTACTCATAGGACAGAAGAAGGATCTTTTGTAATTTTACAGACTTTGAAGATCAAAAACATACAGTGACAGAGTGCAAGGTTACTACAATGATGTGGTCATGTAGAGAGAAGGATTTTTATGTTGTTATCAATTGTTTCTCCTTTTTTCTTTCTATTTTCTTGATCACGTTAGTGCACCTAGCTAACGGATCATGACATTAGAATTGAATGCCAGAAGACAATCTGATGCCAGTAACTAAAACTCCTGGGGAGTGTGCAACAGGGTTATACAGGATGACTGAGCTGGCTTCAAAGATACCCAAACAAAAGGTTTCATCAAGCACCTGAGAGTTGAAAGAAAATGTGGGGTTTTGCTCGGTTTCTGTGGGGTCTTTCATGTGGTAAAGAATCCAGATTCTCCTCAATGTGTTCAGGGTCCTTCAGTTTCAGACGCGAATGTGGCACTTCATGCTGGCTATTTGTTTGAGAGTTGTTGTTGTTGTTGTTGTTGTTATTTGCTCTTGTGCTCAGAGGAAATGGCCAGCACGTGTGGGGTTTGGTGTTCATGGGTAGTTTGGGGGATAGTCAGAGATTTCACTCCAGAAAACCACTGAAGCACTTACTAGAAGAAAGACCTGACTGCTCAAAATGATTCCTTCCATGTGTTTTGCAATGTTGGCTGAAGGAGGGGGGTTGGACACTGGCTATCCTGGCCCAGGACAGAGCAGGACAGGAGTGGACTGTGCACACCTGGGCAGGATTGAGATCCAGTTTTTTCTTCCTCCTTGTTTCCCTCACCATCATCACACACCAGCGATTGTGTGGCAAGCTCTGGTGTCTGACTTTTCTAGTTCTAGGCTATCAGGTGGGTTTCTCAGTTTTAAAAGGAACCTAATGAATGTTTATACAACTTTCCTCTTTTGTTAAGACAGCTTTTTTATTTTTCTGGTTTGCAGACTTTGAATGAGGCTTTAAGGAGTCCTAAAGAGGAAGACACATAAGCCACCTGACAGGATGAACGTTCATTAAGTATGAACCAAGGGAACACTGCTTTAATTTTCCACATTACACACTGTTACTGTCCATGCTTCCCGTTCAAGATTATGTATTACTGATTTATCCTAAATTTAAAGTGTAAGAAAATTTAAGGCAATATTTTAATTATCAGGTGCTTTTTATAGGTAATACACACTGATAAATTATAGATACGTTGTTTTCTATTTTCTCATATGGGAAATCAAATGTATTCTTTAATTCTTGATAGGAAAGCACACACTGTCCCTTTAACAAGTACAGTAAGTGGATGTTCAGATGTGTGCATTTTCTGAATAATCTCCATTAACATGATTTTAGATGAAAGCTCTTACTTAAACAGCAATGAACCTTGCTTTTCCTTGATATTCTCACTAATCTGTGTTTTCCAGTACTAGTCAGTGATAAAAATATTTCTGGAATGAATTAATTAGATTTCTAGCCATTTTCTGGACGCAACTGGCTCTACTGTGTATAAGATGATCCACATACTCTGGCATGAAGCTGACAAATCATTTTTGTGAATATGAATTCAATTATAAGTTGTCTTTCTGAAAAATCTAAAATGCGTATAGCCAACAAAGAGGGCTCGGTTAAACATGCATGGGCAACGTCTTGTTCAGGGTGACTGGAATTAAAAATGATAATCTCATCCTGTAGTCACCAAGCCTTAACTGGCTCCTGTTTTTTTTATGTTTGCCTGTTTAAACGTGTTAAAGGGGATTATTTGCTAAATATAAATATAGTTGAATCCCTAATAATGACCTAGTGGTGATTGTTGTTAGCATACAACAAAGGAAATCTGGGAGAGTGCATATACACCCATCAGTTTTGTTATACTGTTTTGCAGCTTCCTGCAGCTCTCTTTCCAGAGCGAACCTTTTAATAT